GGATGTGGGGAGATGTGAGGAAAGGGATTGAGAAAGAGGTCTAAAGCCTCATGCAATTGTGTTCTAAGGGTCATGAGTGTTCTGTGATGAGAGTGGCTGGATTTAAGGGAGGGCATGTTTTGTGATGAGAGTGGCTGGATTTAAGGGAGGGCAAGGTTTAAAGGAGAGCTGGGAGTTTTCAATGAAAGTAAGGTGAATAAGTTGTAGGCGGGAAAGGGAGAGAATTGACTTGGCCTTATGGCTGAGAGGGTCTTGACTGTTGTTTAAAAGCTAGTTTAGAGCTTCCTTGTGTTAAAAGGGTGGCTGCCGCCAAGGCCCATAAACAGGGGTCCCATCCCCAGGTTGTGGTATCAAATTGTTCAGAGAGGTATGTAACTGGGGAGAAAATATCTCCTGCCTCTTGTCCCAAAACCCTGACTGCCAATCCTTGGGTTTTGGTGACATATAGGATAAAAGGATGGGATAGGTTTGGGGAGGGATAGAGCTGAGGCTGCAAGGAGGGCAGCTTTTAATTGCTGGAAGGGAGAATGAATGGGCTTTGTGGGATCTAAGGGAATGGCAGGATCCCCTTTGGCTGCCTCATAAGGTGGTTTTGTAGCATTCCAAAGTTAGGAATCCATAGGCGAAGATACCCTGCAAGCCCCAAGAGAGAAAGGATTTCACTCATTATGGTAGGAGTAGGGAGTTCAGAAACTAGACTCTTGTGATCCACTGTTACTTCTCTGGTATTGGGGGTGAGGTGGACTCCCAAATAGGCAACTGAAGGAGAAGAAATTTGGGCCTTGCTGGGGACACTTGATATCTCCTGGGGGCCAGGAAATTAAGGAGAGCAACAGTGTAGGCCTGTGAATCCTCATAGGAGGGGCTACAAAGGAGGTCATCCACATATTGTATTAAAGTGCTAGAGGTTGGAGACGTTCAGGTAATTCTTGATCTAAGGCCTGGATGGAAAAGTGGGGTCTATCCTGAAACCCCTGAGGTAGCACTGTCCAGGTGAGTTGTTGGGAATGACATGTGTCAGGATCAGTCCTGTACTAAACAGTATGAGCCATTAGGCTTTATAACCAGAAGGGTGGGTGTGTTGAAAGGTGAGCGGGTAGGCCATAAGAGATAAGAAGAAAGGAGTTTGTGTATGACGGGTTTTAAGCCTATTAGGTGTTTGTTAATGATGGGGTACTGTGGGACATCAGGGAACAAAGAGGGGTTCAGCAACTTAACAAGGATAGGGGAGTGGTGCATAGCAATGGAGGGAGAAGAAGTGTCCCATACTAGGGTTTAACCTTGTCTGAGGGGAAGGGGAAGGTGGAAGCCTCAGGGGCCAGGTCTGGGTACAGCCTGTAACAGGAGTATTGTAGCTGGAGTTAAAGTGTTTAGGGTAAGAGTAGCTTTGAATTTGAAAAGAATGTCCCATCCCAGTAAGGGGGTTGGGCATTGAGGCATTATTAAAAATTTGTGTTTGAATTGGGTGTGATGTAGGGTGCAGGAAAGGGCTTGAGTGATCCGCGGGTAGTATTCTGATCCCGTGACCCTTACTATTGTGATAGAGGATGGGGTAGTTGGTCCTCCATATTTAGGAAGGGTAGAGTAAGTGGCCCCTGTATTGATGACAAAAGAGATAGGCTTACCTGCCACGAGGTGAGTTACCATGGGCTCAGACATGGTGACCTCCATGGGGGCCTTGGGCCCTGGGCATCATCAGTCCTCCTCCTGGGCAAAGCTGAGAAGCTCCAGTAGGGATGGCCATGAAGCCAAAGGCTGTGGGTTGGGGACCGGGCCACTCCCTCTCTGGCAAGTGGAACAGTCAATCCCCCAGTGATATGGCTGTTTGCAGTGAGGACAGGGCCTGGAAGGGGGGCCTGGGGTTACAACAGACCCATACCAAGTGGCCCAGTTGACCGCATTTGAAGTGGTTCCTGGGTGTCTTGCCTCTTGAGGCAGCCAGCTTTGGAGTACGTGAGCCACAGATGGCATTAGCCAGGAGCTGGTATTTGGCCTGATCTCTTTTACAGTTTTTTCAAATATCAGGGGCTGATTGGGTAATGAAATGAGAGTGTAAGAGGACCATGCCTGCAGGGGAGTTTGGGTCTATACGTGTAAGGGGGCCTGGGGTTAGAATGGGCCCATGACGAGTGGCCTGACTGACCATATTTGAAGCAGTTCTTGGGTGCCTTGTCCCTAGAGGAAACCAGCTTTGGAGTGTGTGAGCCTCAGATGGCATTAGCCAAGGAGTTGGTATTTGGCCTGATCTCTTAAACCAGTCCTTTTTCTCCTCCTCCTCCATATTGTAAAAAAACCTTGAAAAGTGTGCTGAGGAGGTAGTGTAAAAGGCCATGCCTGCAGGGAAGTTTGGATCTATATGTGTGTATTTATGTAGGGCCTCAGAGAGGTGGGTTAGGAACTTGCTGGGATTTTTGTTGGATCTCTCTGTAATCTCTCTAATCTTGTCATAATTGACTGACTTGTGAGTAGTATTTTTGGAGGCCATAAATCAAGTGTGTGATCATGTTATCCTGGAGAGCCCATTCCCTGTGGCAGGCCTTGTGGTCCCAATTTGGATCTGTGCAATGGACTGCAATATCTCCCACTGGCCACCTGTTATTTTGAGCATGAACCTCATCTGCCTGTTAATGGGCCACCATCCAGACCTGCCACCTACTTTCAGGGGATGGATATGTGTCTGGGTCAGACTGGAACGATCCCAGTCATTTTTTGACTTGGAAAAGGTCTGAAAGAGAAAAGGGGATATGTACCCAGACAAATCCTTTCATCCCTGCCACTTCACGGAGGGGGTATAAAGGAGCTGGAGCTGAGGCAGGGTTGTTATCTGACAAAGGGGGAGAAGGATAGGGGGGTTGGGTGGCTGAGGGAGAAGAGAGGGAAAAGGTGGAAGGGCTGGTGAAGGATTTGGAGCATAAGGAGGTAGTCAAGGTGGCCTGAATGAGGAGCAGGGTAGGCTGATGGATTAAAAGATTAATCTGAGTCCACAAGGGGAGGTCGGGCATGAGCTAGGAGACTTTGAGATGTAGGACAGATTTGACAGAGAGAAGGACACATTCAGAGATAGAAGAAGGCTTGCTGTTTCAGTGACAAAAGTTGTCTAGGAGAGTATCTAAATTGAGAGTGCCATCTTGTGGTCACCAGGATCCATTGTAACGAGGCATTAGAATATTAATGTCTCCCTGGAGGCTGAGAGGTTGTCCAGGAGACAGCCTAGATGCATAGAGCATGGAGTACATTAGAAAATGAGACGTTTGGCCTCCGCAGGGGGCGATGCTGCAGCGCGGCTGTGGGCTGAGACAGCTCCGGGGAGGACCCGGCGCTCGGGCCTCCGCTCGGCTCCTTTCTGGCCCCGAGATGCCTAAAAAAGTTGGTGCGACGAAGAAGGGTAAAAGCCAGAGCAGAGAACCGGAGAGACCACTTCCTGCCTTAGGTCCTGTG